CCCAGGAGTTTGGGGGGCACTGAGAGTTATGGGGGCGCCACTTTGGGTTTGGGGGGCACTGCTGGGGTTTGAGGAACATTGTTAAAGCAGGGGGACTTGGAGGCAAAGTGGGTTTTGGGGGCATTGGCAGGGCTGGGGGACTTGAGGGGGGCAGCAGAGCATCACCAGGTCTGGTGTCAGGGAGTTTGGGGGGCACTGACCCCCCTGTTCCCCCCAGCCACCTGCCCAAGATCTACCAGGCCCTGCTGGTGTCAGCCACGTTCAACCCCGAGCTGGAGGCGCTGCAGGAGCTTGTGCTGCACAACCCTGTGAGGAATGGGGGGCTGGGATGGGGTTTGGGGGGGGTTGAGAGGGGTTGGGGTGTCCAGGAGGAGGTTTGGGGGATCCAAGGAGGATCCAGAGTGGGCACAAAGATGGAAAAACGCTGGGATTTGGGATCACCGCCCCCCAGGAGCAGCTTTAGGGGACACAAGTTGCCCAGAGGATGCTGTGGGTGCCGCAGCCCCCCATTTTTGCCCCATCCCATCCCCATGTGCCCCCCAGGCGCTGGTGCTGCCCCCAGAGCCACGGCTGCCGGGCCATTCCCAGCTGCAGCAGTTCCAGGTGCGCTGTGGGACAGAGGAGGACAAGTTCCTGGTGCTCGTGGCCCTGCTGCAGCTGCGGCTGCTGCGGGGCCGGGCCCTGCTCTTCGTGGGCAGCCTGGCCAGGGCCTTCCGCCTCAAGCTCTTCCTCGAGCAGTTCGGCATCCCCGCCTGTGCCCTCAACTCCGAGCTGCCCGCGGCCTCCAGGTATGCCAGGGGGCTGGAGGGACCCTTGGGTGTCCCTGGGGTCACAGGGGTGTCCCTGAGGTGGTGACAGGGGTGTCCATGAGGGGTCTCAATTTGGGATCCCCCCCTGCGCCCTCCACTCCGAACTGCGCACGCAGTCATGCCGAGGGGCTCCTCTGTCCCCAGGTGCCACGTCATCGCCCAGTTCAACCGCGGCCTCTACGACTTCATCGTGGCCACCGATGAGGAGGGGCCTGTGGAGACCCCCCAGCGCCAGGCACGGAAAGGGGGGTCCCTGGGGTGAGCATGGGGGAAGTCGGGGGGCTGGCAGGCTCAGGGGTTGGGGGATGTCACCAGGGACTCATTGGTGCCACCAGTGTCCTGTGGGTGGTACCAGCAACCAGGAGGTGACAATAGGGACCTGGGAGTGCAACCAGTGCCCTGAAGGTGCCACCAGGGAGCCACTGGTGCCACCAGTATCACATGGGTGGCACCAGTGTCCCGTGGGTGTCACCAGGGACCAGGGTGGCCACCATTGTCCTGTCCCTGTGTGACTGCATCCCCTTTGTGGGGCTCAGGGGGTCCCTGTGACCAGGGCCTCACCGTGCCCAGGGTGACCTTGTGTCCAGGGGATCCCCTTTCCCAGCCTCCCTGTCCCCATATCCCAGATCACCACTTGCTCTGGGCGTCCCTCCTGAGCACCCCCAACCCTTGGTGTTCTGTGTCCCCCCAGGAAGGGGAAGGGGAAGGGGAAGGCCAAGGACAAGGGGAAGGCCAAGGCCCAGGATCCCGAGTATGGGGTTGCCCGAGGCATTGACTTCCAGAACGTCTCGGCCGTCATCAATTTCGATGTCCCTCCCACGGTCGAGTCCTACATCCACCGCGTGGGCAGGTCTGTGGGGGCACGGGGGGGACCCCCAGGGGTGCCAGGCTGGCCGTGGTCCCACCCTGTGTCCCCCCTGCACCCCCAGGACAGCCCGCGGTGACAACCCTGGCACAGCGCTGACCCTGGCACTGCCCGAGGAGCACGAGGGGCTCACCCGCATTGAGGATGCTCTGGCAGGAGGTTTGGGGGTCCCTGTGCCACCTGGGGGTCTAGGGGACACTGGGGGGCTGGGCTGACCCTCTGTGTCCTCCAGAGAACGGGCAGTCCATGCTGCAGCCCTACAAATTCTGCATGGAGGAGATCGAGTCACTGCGCTACCGCTGCCGGGTACGAGGGGCACCGGAGGGGCTGGGGGGGCCAGGGAACTGCTGGTGGCACTGGTGAGGTCCTGGTAGCACTGCTGGGGTGCTGGTGGTGCCAGAGGGATCCTAGTGACACTGAGGGGGTTCTGGTAGCTCCAGGAGGGTCCTGGTGGCACTGAAGGTCCTGGTGACACCATGGGGGTGTTGGTGGTATGGGGGGGTCCTGTGACTCAGAAGGGGTGCCAGTGTGGGAATGGCACTCTCTGATCCCCCTATGTCCCCCCCAAAGGATGCCATGCGCTCGGTGACCAAGCAGGCGGTGAAGGAGGCGCGGCTGCGCGAGATCAGGGACGAGCTGCTCAACTCTGAGAAGCTCAAGGTGATCCCAAGGGGCCCAAGGAAGGGGTCTGGGGGGCACAGGAGGGCCCAGGGGCTCCCTGGGCAGTGCCAACCCCCTCCTTGTCCATGGCCAGACCTATTTCGAGGACAACCCCCGGGACCTGCATGTGCTCCGCCACGACAAGCCCCTGCACCCTGCCATTGTGAAACCTCACCTGAGAAACGTGCCAGACTACCTGGGTACGAGGGAACGGGCCAAAATGGGGCACAGCAGGGACTGGGGGAGAAACGGGAAAATGGGCAATACTAGGGGGAAATAGGCAAAACTGGGGCAAAACGGGCAAAAGTGAGGGGATTGGGGGAGAAACGGGTCAAAAGGTGGCAGAAGGGGGTGATTTAGGGGGCAGGACTAACCCCCAGTGCCCCCCTAGTGCCCCCCAGCCTCCGGGGCATTGCCAGGCCCGGCCCCAGGAAACGAAAGGGCACCCGAGTGCTCCGAGGGCCCAGCGCCCGGAGAGGGAAACCTGCTGTGAGTGACCCCCAAACCCCCTCCCTGAGACCCCAAACACCCCTAAATCCCCTGCACATGCCCCTAAATCACCCTTGCTCCCCAGAATTCCCCCTGAACCCCAAATTACCCCCAAATCCTCCCTTCCAAAGCCAAATCACCCCTACTCCACCAAATCCCCCCTGAGCCCCCAACCTCCCCAAAATCCCCCCTTGCTCCCTGAAATCCCCCTAAATCTCCCCCCTGGACCCTCAAATCCGCC